TTATACAGATGACAGAACCTTGTTTGCCAAAACTGAGAAGGATATGAGACGTTTGCTGCAGAAGGTCAAGGACTGGATCTTCAATTTGGATTGAAGCTCGACATAAAAAAAAAACCCAAAATTTCTCACCACTGGGCAAATTGACAGCTTCATGATAGTCAGAGAAGAGGTCGAGATTGTTAATAACTTCAGCTTGTTTTGCTGGCACCAGCAGTCAGAACATCAAAAGATTAATTGCACTGAGATAGTCTGTTGTCAGCGACCTCTCTAGAATACTGAAGAGCAACGATGTCAGTCTGGAGACTAAGGTGTACATGATACAGATCATTGTCTTTGCAATTACTTGCTATGCATCTGAGAGATGGACAGTGACTAAGGATGATAGAAGAAGAATCAATGCCTTTGAGTTGTGGTGCTGGAGAAGAATGTTGAACATATTGTGAACTGCCAAGAGAACATAAACATACAGGTCTCTCCTGGAGAGGGTGAAACCAGGCTGTTTCCTGGAGTCAAGGTTTTGAGGCTCTGTCTCACATACTTTGGTCACATAGCCAAGAGGGACCAGTACTTGGAGAAGGACATCATGCTTGAAAGGGTGGAGGGACAGCACAGGAGAGGAAGACCCAGGATGAGATGGATTGACTCAGTGACTGGAGAAACGGGATTAAGTCTGTCAGAGATGATGAGATTAGCTAAGGATAGGGAAGGATTCAGAGCTAATGTACATAGTGTCCTTGAGTTGCAGACAATTCAATGGCACATAACAACAACAACAGTAACAACATATATGGTTCTTGTATAAGTGTAGATATTTTATATAATTGTATATTATTTAAAACCAATAAAGATAGAAAATAAAATATCAATTTTATCTTAAAAACATACACTTAATATATAAGCTATATAGAATATATAAATGTATATATTAATCTTTATTGTTGCTGTGTGTCATAGAGTCAGAGCTGACCCTTCAGTGGGTTTTCAGAGGCAGTTAATTGCATGGGAGGAGATAGCTCATCCTTCTCGTGATTTTTATAGGAAATGAATGTACTTTTATATAAGTTCTGTATGTTATTGTTGTTATGGGCTGTCAAGTTGCAATTGACTCATAGCTGACCCTCCAGTGTATTTTCTGTAACTAGAACTGGAAGAGACTGGAGTGGAGACTAGAAATAGCACAGGAGGAGAATGCCCATCTTTCTCCCACAGAACAGTGATTGGATTTGAAGCACCTACTCAGGGAAACCCCTTACCTCTAGGTCATCAGAGTTACCTTAAATCACATACTATTGTTCTTTTGTGCCCTTTGCTGGGACAGACGCAAAACTCACCCACCATGGGTTTGTAGATGCTATAAATCACATGAGGGGAGATTGTCCATCCATCTTTATGCAATGGGGCAGCTGGTGGATCCAAACTACATGTCTTTGAATTGGCAATGCAGCTCCTTACCACTAGGTCACCAAAGGTTCTTTAAATTATTATTATTATTATTATTATTAGGTGCCATTGAGTTAAGTAAGACTCATAAGTGAATAAGACTTACTTAAACAACAGATTTGAACCTTGTTGTATCTTGTGCCATCTTCATCATCTCTGGCATGCAGCAGTCAGTCCATTGGGTTGAGGGTCTTCCTCTCTTTTGCCAACCAAACATGATATCACTCTCCAAGGAATAACCTCTCTTAGCAACATACCCAAAGTATATGAGGTAAAGCTTTATCATCTTTATATATATGTAATTTGCTGACATTAGTATTGGAATAGAGTATTACACTGAGATAGATAGATAGATAGATAGATAGATAGATAGATAGATAGATAGATAGAAGTAGTGCTCTCAACCTCAAAACATGTGGCTTGAATCTACCAGCTGATCCATAGGAGAAAGATGAGTGATCTTCTCCTGTGTGATTTACTGCCTCCGAAAACCTACTGGAGAATCAGCTATGAGTCGATTCTGACTTGATGGCACTAACAACAACAGAGCTGGGTACCTTTGTGTTGGTGGCACAATTCCATACCTCTAGGCTACCAGAGCTCCTCAACTAGGCTCATAGAGATCCATTATATCACTATCCTGCACACATATTTTAAATAGGTGGTTGTAAAGAAATACCAGAAGCATATCTTTTATGCTGACTGATGTCAGGAGAGACCAGTCCTTGGAGAAGAACATCACGTTTTGAAAGGTGGAAGGTCAGAGAAAGAGAAGACAAGATGGACTGACACTGTAACAGCAGCAATGGGCTCAAGCAGATCAGGGAATATTGCAGATGGCCCCAAATAGGCAAGGTTCAATTATTCACAGAGCCACTATAAATTGTAGGTGAGTCCATGGCACCTAAAAACAACAATCAATCAAATTTTTAACTATTCAGCAAAACCTTTTTCTTGTTTCTTGTAGAAAACATTTCCTGACATGACTATTGGAGTTGAAGTTAAAATTTTAAAATCTTTCTTATATCAATAAACATGGAAAAAAAAATCTTCAAAGAGGAATTTCAGGCAGCAAAGGGGAGAGAAGAAAATAACTGCCCCGCAACATGACGCCAGAAATCTCCCTTAGAAAAAAAAGACCCAGGGAGACATTGCACCCCCCAACCCATCCACCATCGCCTTAAATTCCAGCGATAAGGCTGTAAATTCTCCTCCGTGGCCTGCAGTTTAGTGTAAACACTCCAAGAGCCTCCAGGACCACAGAGAGCAAGAAATGGCGGGGCGCTGGCTGGTTTTTCTCGGAAGGGAATGCTCACTATCAACTATTGAATCACTAAAGCTAAGCCTGGCCATCCATCAAGGGGGGGCTGGCTCCTGGTGTGGCCAAAGGAGGACTTGGGGCCGTGGTAGGGACCCCGATGGGCACGTGTGGCCTCGGACATTGGGGAGCCAGAGCGCTGGACCAGGCGGTTCTCTGGCAGCCCCACAGAGCTGACCAGAGGGCGCTGGAGCCTCTGGAGCAAACGACACTTGGTGCACCCTCCTCCCTCCAGGTCCTGCGGGTCTTTCCTGGCCTCCTGAATGGAGGAAACCTGGTAATATTCCCACACCGCCACTTGGGAAAGGAGGAAGAAAGTGCTGGGCACGCAGTTGATAGCCACTTCTATCCATGTCCATGTGAAAGAAGGAAGCACATCCAGAGCCACAAGGTATGCAGTTAATTTGGTTGCCTTGTGGTACACCCATCCAGTAGAGAGAAGTGCACTTCCTAGTGCAGCAGGAGAAAGCCCACGGAGCTTGGGGGAGCGGGGGCCTGCAGCCCAGGCTTCTCAGACAGCGGCTGGTGGGCCACAACAGGCTCAGCCTGTCAGCTTCAGCTCTTAAAAGCTCTGATGGATATATATGATTTCTGGGTGGGGAGGGGGGAGCACCCGTTTGACCATTAATATCTCCTAGAGTATTAACTTAAGCATTTTCTTTTCTATTAAAATAAAAGATGATTTAGAAAGATTTCCCAGGGCTCTTCAGGAATTTATGCCAATGCATTTTTTTTTAAAAAGAAGCAAACAAAAACCTCCCAACTTTATGTGCTATAAAATTCACTCATAATAGTGCACAGATTGATAGCTTTAATTTGTGCAACGATTACAATTAAGATTGAGAACATTTCAGTCACCCCAAAAAGTTTCCCATGCCCAGCCAATACCCCTGATCCTCTTCTCCTTGGTCTCTAGCAACTCCTGGTCTGCTTTCTGTCATGACATTAGTTCTTTTCCATTTAGAATGTCAAAGAAATTGAGTCAGCTAGTATATGTTTAATTCTGGCTTTGCCCTATTTTGATAAACTTCCGTATTCTGAGGTATTTTTCCCTTCATGTTCACCACTCAAGATTTTATTTTGCTTACGTGAAACACAATGTATACAAATTTTGTATGTAAACCATTATAAAATAAAATTTTAAAAATTGCTCTGCCAATCCAAAAGCACGTGGTTTGAATCTACCAGTTGCTCCTCAGAAGAAAAATGGACAAACTCCTCCCAGGAAGTTTACAGCCTCTGAAAATCTGCTGAAAGGTCAACTGTGAGTTGGTTCTGACTCAACGCACATAACAACAACAAAATGAAGTGTAAATATGCAAGACCGACTGATTTTTATGTCAAGAAAGAAAGAAGATGCACTCGCATCATATCTGTTCCTTACTAGTAAACGGAATGGCTAAATTGCTCAACCCTGAGACAGTCCCCAAATGTATGCTTCTGGGGGAGTCTGACAGGATCAATTTATAATGTCCACGGAAAGAATGAGAACAAGAAAAACCTTACTGATTAGCCAATTATGACAGTGAAAAATAAAAGTTGTCCACTGGAATCACCTGTGAAAATTTCCTTTCTGTCCAGTCAGTGGGAGCCAAAGTGGAAGAAAATACCTGTCTTACATTTCTAAAATTACTTCTGAGAGGCATGAGAAATGGAGGGAGGAATTTATTAGATTCCACTTTTTTAAAGCTGCACCAGATTCAAGTGTATCTTAAAGCAAGCTCTTCACAGTGAACAACTCTGAGATTCCTCTCTTCTTAAAAACCAGCCCATCTATGAACTTGAGGGTTAACGCATCCCCAGAAATGATTTTCTATATCCTCCAGGCCCAAATTATGGAGACTTCAAACAGGTTGCAAGGCACACTATTTTAGAACTTCATCCACCATGCCAGAAAATGAGATTACGAAATGTTTTCCTGCCTTCTATTTTTGTTGCCCACAATATCTATTTTAACGGCAATTAAACCCTGGTGCTCTCTCTTATCTCTGTTGGCTAATGTATTAATTCCACCACCCCAAGAGGAATAATCCAAAATCTAAAGCCTGTACTATATTACAGACCGATGAACGCTTCATCAGAGCAAACAGAGGATTTGGTTTGTATAAACAGCAAAAGCTCATGTCTTTTATGTCCAGAGAGCAGGACTGAGAGAAGAAAATGACGATAAATCATTTCAAGAAACAGTGTAACGTAAATGTTGTATGTTTATTTAAAACGTCATATGCTCATTTGTCCAGAGCTACAGCCCAGCTTCAGAAAGTGGCTTGTCATAATGAGCTTCAGAGGCGAGCAGCATTCGAGAGCCAAAAGATATATTGCCTCCTTCCCAAATTGGCTTATGGGGAATATGATAAGCTCTTAAGGAAAGCCTAAGCATCCAAGAGGATAACGCAACAGTCATGCAAACCTTTGGTATTTTACAAATAGTTCTTCATTAAGGTATTGGGCTACACATAGTGGTGTTTTTTTAAAAAAAAGTGGGTGGGGGAGAGGAGTAGCAAGAAGTTGCACTGCAATACCAGAGATATGCAGTTCAAATCCACCAGATGCTGGAGAAGGAGGGGCAATCTCCTCCTGTACCAGTCAGATCCTATTTGATGGCACACACACACACACACACACACACACACACACACACACACTGGAATAAAAGGGGGAGAGAGAAGTACTTAAGTTCTATCTGCTCCTTCTGAATTAATAGGGTGAATTAACATAATCTAGAAGGGCTTTAAAGAGAAAAAGGGTGATATTTCCTTTCATCTGAGTTGAGGTGAAATATCCAAGTGGCTATCCTCAGCATTGCTTCCAATGGAAAGAAGAGAAGGCATGAATTGGAGAGTGTGCAGTGGAGGACTTGGTTGCGGGAGGAGGCATTTCCTCTCAGCTGCTAGGTATTCAGAGAAGCCTTGATGGGCTCCAACTCCAAGCTGTCTGAATTTGAATCCTGCACCTGCCAATTCTCAGCAGAATAGCTTGGGTATGCTTCCTAAACGCTCCTTCAATCTCCTCATCTGTACAGTGGGAAGGCAATAGAAGCACTAACCTCAGAGAATATCTGTGAAGATCAAGCTCACACCAAGTGCTTACCCTTTGGGTTCTGTGGAACTCTTACGGTATAGTAACTACTGAGCTGTAGCCTAAAACCGAAAGCTTGGTAGTTTGAGCCTCTTGCAGAGGAGAGATGGGGTGGTCTCCTTGTGTAAAGATTTATAGGCTTGGAAACCTTATGGAGGCTCTCAGGAGTTGGCAGTGGGTTTCTGACATCTGTGAATAAGTGTTGGCTTTTTGGAGGGAGAGTCCTTCCACATGCCTCTACACAAAACACGAAGAAAATGTCAGTAGTGATCTGACAAGAAGAGTGTAAACTAGTTCTAGAACTCTGAAGAAGGGATTTCCTGGAGAGAGGGCGGGTAGAGTTATGCTTAGATTGTTTCAGACATAAAAGGGAAGTAAAACTCTGAGTAAATAGCATCTAAGCCACAAACAAGGAAGCCCAGGCAAACCTGTGTTTGCAAGTGTGCACTGTCCTTTAAGGTGTGCATTACTTTCACTTTTGCTTGACCACCACTCAGTCAGTTGTAGCTAGTCCATCAAGGAGTTGTGCCAGCCTTTACAAGCTTTTTAGGAGTTCAGGATTGTGGTTCACTATCTGATCACACGTAAAGCCTGAATTTTTAAAGAGACAGTGCTGCCAACCCTGATAGACTCATGGCCTGACCTGCAGCAACATCTTAAGAGATGCACTAATCTGTCCACCATTTCCTGCTGACACTTGATGTGGTGATGGATTTTTCTTTTCTTTTCCCCTTCATTGATTTTTGATTGTGAAGAGGGAGAAAATCCCAATCCACAGCAGCTTTGAACTTTCAATCCTATCATAATCGAGTCGAGAAGATGATGAGTGGGGGCAGGTAGGTGGCTGCATTTTTTAATTATTATTAGAGATGCTGATGGACAGAAAGTTGCTCCCTGCTCGCACATTTCACTAAGATACAAAGAAATTTTAAGTAGTTACCTATAGGAAAAGATGATATATTAATTAATAGTTCTAATAACTGATACTTTGGCAAAAAATAGATTAGATATGGTGAAGTAAAAAAAATCTTCAAATAATTATGCTTGTAAGGATGTTCAATATGGATTGAAGTTCAACATTAAAAAAAAAACAAAACAAAGATTTTCACCACTGGACTGTTCAGCAGCTTCATGATGGCTGGAGAAGAAATTTAAGTTGTTGACAGCTCTGCTTTCCTAGTTTCACAATCTACATGCTTGGCACCAGCAGTCAAGAAATCAAAAGACAAATTGCATTGGGAAAGTCTGCTGTTAGATATCTCTCTAGAGTACTGAAGGACAATGATGTCAGCTTGGAGACTAAGGTGCTCCTGATCTAGGCCATGGTCTTTACAATTACTTGGATGCATCTGAGATCTGGACAATAAGTAAGGATAATAGAAGAAAGATATATGCTTTGAGTTATGGTGCTGGAGAAGAGTGTTAAACATACTGTGGACTGCCAAGGAGCAAACTGGTCTGTCCTGATGCTTCCTGGAGGCAAGGATTTTGAGGCTCCATCTCACATACTTTGGGCATTTGGACAGGAAGGGCAGTCCTTGGAGAGGGACATCATGTTTGGTAGGGGGAGGGACAGCACAGGAGAGGAAGACCCAGGATGAGATGGATTGACTCAGTGACTGGAGAAATGGCATTAAGTCTGTCAGAGATGACAAGATTGGCTCAGGGCAGGGCAGGTTTCAGAGCTAGTGTACAGAGTTGCAGGTTATTTGATGGCACATAACAACAAGGATGTTAATAATAATTCCAGCACGTAATCCAAAGAGAAAGTGAGTATTGTCTCACTGCTATCAAATGCAGGTCTTCTAAATGAAATAAGTTAAGGCTACAGACAAGTTTGTTTTCATTCTTTACTTTCAGAAATGCTGTTATAATGCTGTGCTGCTGGTCCATTGCCGCTTGGGCAGCTAATAGAAAAACTGATAGTTTGAATTCATCAGCTGCTCCAAGGGAAAAAGATGGGCAATCACATTCCATAAAGATTGACAGCTTCAGGAACACGTTGGAACAAACCTAATCCCTGATTTTTTTATTTCATATGGCACTTGCGCTTTATGACTTTTTCTCTTACACTTCCTAGGTAAAGTCATAATGTGTATGTCCTCTCTTGTCTATCTAGATAGATAAGACATGCTCTGACATTTTACAAGAAATTTTTTTATTCAGCTGAATTGTTGTTGTTGTTGTTATGTGCCATCGAGTTGCTTGTGACTCATAGCGACCCTACGTACAAGAGCTCTAAATGCTTTTCTATCCTGTGCCAACCTAGCCATCTCAAACGCACTCATTCCCATAGCTCTAGTCACAGAATCGATTCATCTTATCGAAGGCCTTCCTCTCCTTCGCCGCCCCTCCACTCTGCCAAACATGATGTCCCTCTCCAAGAACCACTTCCTCCTTGCAACATGCCAATAGTATGTCAGATGAAGCTTCAGAATCCTTGACAACAAAGCGCCTTCCCGCTTCACCCTCTCCAGGACAAACCTGTTTGTTCTCCTAGCAGTCCATGGTATATTCAACACTCTTCTCCAGCACCACAGCTCAAAGGCATAAATTCTCCTTCTATCAACCTTATTCACTATCCAATTCTCTGATGCATAGCACATAATTGTGAAGACTATAGCCTGAATCAGGTGCACCTTAGTCTCCAGTCTGATGTCATTGCTCTTCAGTACTCTTGAGAGGTCCCTCACAGCCGACTTTCCCAATCCAATTCATCTCTTGATTTCCTGGCTCCTGTTACCAAGAGTGTTGATTGTGGAGCCAAGTAAACTAAAACTGTTAACTATCTCAATCTCTTCACCATCCATACTGATGCTGCCAATTGGTCCAGTGGGGAGAATCTTTGTTTTCTTGATGTTGAGCTTCAGTTCATAGAGAAGGCTGCAGTCCTTGACCTTCTGCAGCAAGCGCTTCAGGTCCTCCTCAGTTTCAGCAAGCAGGGTTGTGTCACCTGCATAACGCAGGTTGGTGATGATTCTTCCACCAATCCTGATGCCACATTCCTCTTCGTGTAGCCCAGCATCTCGGATGATCTGTTCTGCAGAACAGATTGAAAAGGTATGGAGACAGAATACATCCCTGATGGATCCCCTTCTTGATTTTGAGCCGTGTAGTGTTTCCTTGCTCTGTTCTGTCGACTGCCTCTTGGTCCAAGTATAGGTTTCGCATTAGCACAATCAAATGTTCTGGGATTCCCATTCTTCTTAGAGTCAGCCACAGCTTGTTGTGATCCACACAGTCAAAAGCCTTTGCATAGTCAATGAAGCACAGATAGACATTCTTCTGGTACTCTTTGCTTTCTGCCAAGATCCATGTAATATTAGCTATAATATCCCTAACTAATAGTATTAATAACAAACATACTGATTTAGTTAAAATTCTTTTTTTGTGACATTTGATGTAAGGAGATAATGTATCTAGTGTCTTAGATATTTCATTAGTTAGCTTGAATTTGAAAGTGAAATTTTCTTATAAAAATTTAATCTTTCTTTATGTCTCTGTTAAAGCACTAGGGAAGTAAAGTTGTCAAATTTGTACCTTTAGAAAACTAACAGTCCAGATGGAGAGATAAGATATAAACATATGGAACATTTTACTATAAAGAGGATATAAATAACTTCAGCAAAACATTTGGAAAGATATCACTGCATACAGATGTTTTATTCTTAAGACTAACTGCAGAAATACTGTTTGCTGGAGAGTATCAGAGGAGAAATTCAATTGAAAATGAGAGGGGTGCTGGACAAGAGAAGACAGAATTTTGCAAGGAGGATCGAAAGGCAAGAAGAGGGAAGACGCTGAAGTTTCTTTCAAGGAATGGCTCATTCATTCACACAACAAATATTTATTGCATTCCTACTATTTGGCTAGGGAGCTCTGATGGTCTAGTGGGTAAGGGGTTGCACTTGCAACCCAAGGACAGGTGGTTCAAATCCAACAGCTGCTATTCAGAAAAAAAGGATGGACAATCTCCTCCCTTTTGATTGATTTACAACCTCTGAAAACTCCCTCACTGGTTCTGCTATGAGTTGGCTCCAACTCCACGACACTTAACACAACACAGTATATATCAGGTAGTCTCTGGGTGATAAAAACAATTTAAGTGCTTGAGTACTAACCTAGATGTTGTTGCTGTTGTGTTGTGAGGTACCATCAAGTCGAAATCAACTCATAGCTAATCCCTCCAGAGAGTTTTCAAAGGCAGTAAATTTCATGAGAGAAGAATGCCCATCTTTCTCCCATACAGAGCAACTGGTGGATTCAAACCATAGGCCTTTGGGTTAGCAGCACA